TGAATCATAGAATCATAGGCCTAGAAGGGACCTTGGAGGTCTTCTATTCCAACCCTCTACTCAAGGCAGGAGCCTTATACCATCCCAGTCAAACTGTTGTCCAGTATATTTTTGAAAGCCTTCAGTGGTGGAGTACCCACAACTCTAAGAGGCAGATTATTCCATTGATTAATTGTTCATACTGTCAGAAAATATATCCTAACTTCTAAGTTGTATCTCTCTTTAACAAGTTTCCACCCATTATTTCTTGTTCTGCCCTTAATTTTGGTTGTGTATTGGCCCCTGCAGAAATAATTCTGCTTAAAATGTGCAAACATGTGAGTTCCTTTAAGTACATCTCCAGTCATTCAAGCTTAAGAGCATTTATATTTCCCCAAAGGCTCCTTAGGATTTGAACATTTCTGCAAATCTAAATAATCAGAAAATTATTTATTCAATTGATTAATTGTGGTATTGTAAACTGTAGAAATAGATTTAATGACTTCTGCTTAAAATGCAAACATAGAAACATACAGATATCAAGTCATTCAGTTTAAGAACATTTACATTTCCCCACAAGTCCCTGGGGTTTGAACATAAAATATTTAAATGTATTCAGCTTGATCTCCAGTTTTTGAACATTTTACATACAGTAAACACCATCAGGGAGATTTACCTGACAATGTTACCAGGATTTGGTCCCATCCCAATAGGTTTTGGCAAATAACAGTAAAGAGACTTGTTAATTATCAAGCTTTACCTCTAACATTGTTCCGTAAGGCCTCTTCAGATCCATCATGTGCAGGTTTCCCAAAATAGGTATAGTTCTGGGTCCCGGAGGGAGATTGTGGGAGCTGTTAACCCTGGAACTGTTCTTTTTCAAAAGGAACATAATTGCAAAAATAAATAGGAATAAAGTTAAAATTGCTCCGGTCCAATCCATTTCCTTTCACTAAGCAGTCTTCAATAAAAATTACAAGGAATTTTGAAATCTGAAATGATACCAGCATGTATTTCAAAGCAATGCAGTAGGCAGAGCCCAGCTACTCTTTCTACTGAATCCTCAGACTGCTCTGTTCAATAAAGGACTTTTGAACTTTTCCCTTGTTTTTTTCAGAACAGGAATTTGATCTTTTCCTGGCATGTCTTACGCAAATAGTGAAATCATCAAAAGCTTATCAAACCAGTTCCACTTATTTGTATTACATAATAACCAAGCTTTTTAAAGTCAATATAAAGTATATAATGAATCTATTCAAATTATGGGATACAGGATGAATTGCAAAATCTTCATGCCTGTAAGCAATATCTAACAAAATCTTCTGGAATAAATATTTTACTTTTTAGTTAAAGATGGCCATATAAATATGACTGATAAATAAATACATATATACATAGGTAAAGAAATGGAATCAAATTAAACATTACTAAGTGAGAAACCATTCAGCCGACGTTTTGGTGTTAAACAATTCCTATGCTTCTCAGGTTAGTAACAAGAGGGAAATATTTTAATTTTCTGCCTGATCTCTTATTTGGGCCAAGCAGGTTTCTGTGACAGACTTTTCCTTTGTTTGTGGAACTGGAATGTTGAAGGGTTATGTAGATCTTTCTGTATTTGAGGTCTGGAAGATATGTTGTAGGTGATTGCTGTTACATAGTTAAAACCCTTCATCTCAATTGGCTTCTGCCAATTGAACAAGGTTGGCATGAATGTGGGGGTGATGTATGCAAATTATCGTTCATGACTGCAATTTTATTCTTTTCATTTCCTCCAACTTACATACTGAAAAACATGGTTGTTTTTGCTACTTGCTGAATTAGGCTTACCAATTGGATCCACCAGCTGCCAATTCACCAATTCTTCCAGTAAGCTCCAAAAAAATACTGTATTTTCCGGCGTATAAGACGACCCCCAAATTTTCCTGTTAAAATATAGGGTTTGGGCTATACTTGCCGTATAGGACTACCCCTTTTCCAACGCACACCAAATAAGAATTAAAAAACATCAACTGGCTCACCCACAATGTAAAAGCAGCTGTGCTAGACCCAAAATGGCCCCTGCAACAAGCAGGAACCTCACACAGCCACAAAAAGCCCAAAAAAACAACTTTCACACTTTACACACACAAAATTCCACATACAGCTTTGTGAGATTTTGTGTTTGAGTAGTTAGAGTGAAACACTACAGAAACACACTAAATCTCAGAAAGCTGCACAAATATTATTTTATTTTATTTTTATTTTTATATGAAAGCTAAATTTAAAACTTCCTAAACTTTAAATGGCTAGGTCTAAAAAAGAACAACTAAAAAAAACCCCAATTAACTATTTTTTTTAAAGATCCCAAAGGGGAAAAAAACTTACCCAATAGAACAGGGGTCTCCAACCTTGGCAACTTTAAGACTTGTAGACTTCAACTCCCAGAATTCCTCAGCCAGTTTTGTTTTGCTGGCTGAGGAACTCTGGGAGTTGAAGTCCACAACTCCCTGCCTGCTTGATTGCAGGCAGGGAGTTGTTTGCTGATGGAATGGATTCAGGCAAGCGAAGCAAGGCAAGCGAAGCAAGGCAAGCAGCTAAGGTAAGCAAGCTGGAGGGGGAAAACTTTTTTCCTTCTCCATGGCTCTGGCAATCCCAGCTGAGTTGCCTGATTAGCAGATCGTCAGAGCTTGGATCACCAGAGCCATGTGAAAGAAGAAAAGTTTTTTCCTTCTCCATGGCTCTGGCGATCCCAGCTGCATTGCCTGATTAGCAGATCGTCAGAGCTTGGATCGCCAGAGCCATTTAAGGCTCGTCAGAGCCTTTCGGGCTGGACTTTTGAGAAGATTTTCATGTGTTAAAAAGTCGTTTTATATGCCGGAAAATATGGTATTCTAGATGGAATCAATCAAGAAAATTGTGTTTACTTTGCATTATAAAAGACTTGGATTCCAAGTGTTCCATTGCCATGGATTCCAATTAAGCCAAGGCAACAAAATAATTGGTTGCTTATCTAACATTATGTCAAGTGCCAGGGATATTAGAAAATCCAAATAGGTCAAGTGAATATAAAGATTTATTGTAAGCTTAAGCATTACAGGAATCTGAAGTGGTCAAAGCAAATTGGTGATAGATAAGAGTCAAAGGAATTCAAGGTGAGCTGGACTTGGAAATCTTGTGGGCATGAGGGGACTCATGACTGATGATGTATTTGACCCCTCCCTCAGGCTCACCAATCCCTCCACCTTGCCCTCTCCTCTTATATTGGCTTTTCTATGCTGTTTTCCCTTTCCTGTGTTATGTCTTTATAGACTGAGTTCTCACAACACAAAAACATTATTAGAGGTCTTCTGCCCTTCCAGGAAATTGAAGGCTAGATATGGAAGGCCAATTGTAGCTGAGTGTCACAGCTGCCCCAGGAGGAATCAGAAGGGCTGGTTAACAGCTTCCTTGACAGGTTCCTCATGCAAAATCTCATGCAAAAACTAAGATGGGTGGGACCAATAGCTTGGTAAGCCTTTGCTAGTTGGGGAAGTGCTAATGAAAGTGAAAAACTAAATCAGGGGCATGAACATGCCAGCAAAATTCCTGCCTCGGGCTTCGAAGTCTCGATAGTTCAGCTCCCCCGTTCGACAATCACACTGTAGCACTTTTTGGGGGGCTCTTCTCACACCAATGCTGTTATGTTGCTTTTCCAATTTCTGCTTCCAACTCCACGGCTGTCATCATTTTGAACCGGCCAAGATGGCTGGTTTCTTCCCTATCGATCTCAAGGATGTTCTCCTGAACCTTCGGCAGGATTGCCTTTCACCCCGAGGTCCTCGAAGTTTCCCCTTTCCCCTATCAATCTCTCTGGGATTGACAGTACCTTTTAGAGGCTTCTCAGCAGGAAAATTCAGACTTCAGGAACGGAGCCCGTTCCTTCGCTCCCCTTCATAATGATGTCACCATCGGAAGTCAACAGAATTTCATTTTTAATGTGGGCTGGTGGGCTCGCAATAAACAAAATGGCAATAAAGTTAACTTATCTCATCTCATCTCATCTCATCATCTCATCTTATTATTGTGCATGAGACAATCAAAGATCCAAAGTTGCCATACTGGACATGAACTCTTGAGCCATCTCTAGCACGGCAATAGTTACATACATATCCTGCCCTGGAATATCAACCCAGGTGAACACCTTGCTATGACCACCTCTCCTCCCACAACACAGACCCCCAGTCAATTCTAAATAATGTATGCCAGATCATCTTTATTACTGGCATTTGGAATCAGCAAGAAACCTGGGGCCATGGATGCTCTGATGGCCAAGTCTTGTGGGGAAGCAGAAGGGGCTGGAATGCTACGGTGATACAAACTTGAAGGCAGCTTCCTCAGAGTCACCTGCAGCTGTGTCTGATGATAACTTTCCATGCTTGTCATCATCTTGCAGTCACTGTTTCCTTCCCTCCTTAGAATAGCCACCATCCCCAACCTTTGTCCTCTCTCCCCTGGTACATCTTTCATTATAGTTCATGTAAGTCTTAGGAACAAATCCAATCTCAACAATCTGTTACTAAATGTGATTGTACTAAATGTGCTTTAGAAGCACATTTATTGTTTTTGTGGTAAAGACTTTCTCATCTACATTATCTAATGAGATGGGTCAGTATGGTTTTGGACAAATTGGGTCATTCCTCCTATTAGATAGCAAAGAAATTAAAGCTCCTTTCCAAGAAAAAGCAAATTCTTGAATGTTGCTGAATCTCATTTGTCCATGGAGCTTCTAAGTCATCCTGGTCATGGTTGTCCCAAAGGTGCTTTTTCAAAAGGCAACTGGACTTTATTTTTCCTTGAAGATGTTTTGTTTCACAACAAAGAAGCTTCTTGATTGAATGGTGGTGTCAGCACTGGAGTGAATGCAGCTTGGAAGATGGCCAATGAGAAGCAGAGCAGTGGGGAAAGGAAAGGGAGGGTTTGGACAAGGAAGTCAGTGTTGGCTGCAACTGAGTCGGAGTTTCGATTGTTGTGCCTAATAAATGAAAGATTTTAATCAAGGACTATTTGTTTGAAATGCAGTTTATTTGAGACGACACCAAATCCTGACAGGTGGAGGATGAAAGAATTTATATTTCTTGCAGTCATCTGGTCATTAGCACTCAGTTCTACTTCTTGAAAGTGTCTGAATCTCATTTGTTATCCAAATTAATATTTTGGCCAGAATTTACTGGTTATATTAACATGTCTAGAGCAAACTTTTAAATCATAATTATCATTACTATTTCTATCATAACTAAATTATTATAATTTTGTTTAAAAAAAGAATATAATTGAATACATTCGATTGAATATTATTTCTTGACTAAATTTTTAAAGCTGCCCATGACCATCTCAGAGGGACTCTGGGTGGTGTACAAGCAAATACATAAATTGACTATTGCAGGAAAAAAAAAATATTGCTTTTTAAAATGTAATTAGAATTGCATTTCTTAATTAAAGCAAAAGAGACAAAAAATTCTAAACAGAAACAGATAGTTGAAGGCAAAAAATAGTAAAGAGCAAAGGAAATAAATGGTCCCAATTTTTTTAAAAAAAACTTTGCTTTCCATGATTTCCCTACTATTCTTCCCTATCAGAACCTACATTTCATGAGATTATAGATCATTTCCATTTATCTTCTAAATAACACATGAAATGTAGACAGTATTGAATTATATTGTTAAATTTTGCCTCTGTCAAACTGAAGACATTTCAAGGCTGAGAAAATGAGATAGATGATAGACAGACAGACAGATAATAGACAGATAGATGATAGATGTAGATAGCTAGGTATAGATATAGATGATATAGATATAGTTAGATATAGATGTAGATGTAGGTATATTGATAACTGATACATATATTGTAATATAAGTAATGTTTATATTGTCAGATCAGCATAACACAGCACAGGTCTTGTAAGGCATGGGAGGGGAGATAAGTCCAACACCAGGGGTCAGGTCCAGAGCATCTTTAGATGTTCCTGGGGGTGGATGGAAGGTAAATTTCTGCAAGAGGCTGGTAAAGAAGAGGAAGAGCTCCATTTTGGCAAGAGTCTCACCTGCACATATTCTTCGACCTGGAAGAAAGCATAGATGGCAAAAACAATGAGGGTTTATTGGTTTTTTTAAACTATTTCACAGGTTTTTTTCAATGTCCTATGGCCATGGAAAGATAAACAATGACAGAGCAAAGATATTGATAGAAGTAAAAATGGAGACAGTCTTCAACTTACAATGGTTTGGTTTGTTCAGTGACTGTTCAAAGTTAAGCCCTGAAAAAAATGACTTGTGACCATTTTCATACTTATGACCGTTGCAGTATCTCCATGATTATGAGATCAAAATTCAGATGCTTGGCAACTGATTCATATTAATGATGGCTTCACGTGATCACTTTTTGTGACCTTCTGGTAAGCAAAGTCAATGGGGAAGCCAGATTCATTTAATAACCATGTTGCTATCTTAACTACTGCAATGATTCACTTTAATCACAATGCTTTTAGTCTGCTGAGCTACCAAGGCTAAACAACTGTGGCAAGAAAGATTGTAAAATGGAGCAAAAGTCTCTTAAAAACTGTCTTGCTTAGCAACAGAAATTTTGGGCTCAATTGTGGTCGTACGTTGAGGACTACCTGCATTTTTCAAACTACTAAATGGCAGCAGATTTGTGAATTTGAAGATAATGTAAAAAAAGATGGGAAATTAGTGCCAACAAATGGAGTAATGCCCTTCTTGTAACTATCTAGATATTACATTTCATTGGCCATGCAGATAGAAAACAGGCATGGACTATATCCTTAAGTTTGTGATTCCAGAGGAGGGCAATTAAATATATTATAGAGCAAGGTAATATCTCAGATATTTATGGAGCCAAGATATGTGTTGTAATGAGTGGGTTATTATTCAATTGGACATAATCCAAAATAACTTCACATGGAAGATTTTAGGCCTTCCTAGGGCATCCCTTCTGTTTATCTAATTCTCTGCTCTTTGGGGAAAATTTAGTTCTTGGAATAAAGAAACTTCAGAGAAAGTCTTCTTAAAAAGGATTCTATTAATTATCCTATTGTGGCACAGTCATCTATATTTTCATCCTGGTGCTCTTACTGGTAATATTTGATATATAAAAGTCCATTTAGTAACCTTTTGAATTTACAATGGCACTGAAAAAAGTGACTTATGACCACTTTTCACACTTACTACCATTGCAGGTTCCTCGTGATCACATGATCAAAAGGGTCTAGGATGACGCGACACTGCGAGCTCAATGTGACCAGCTGGGGGTGGCCTTCTCGCCACCACCAACTCACTGCGGCCATCTCTTTGCAGGACATCTCAACACCAAAAATTTGCTGCAGGGATATGGAACATAATCTATGACATCAGAGAATCTTACCTGCAGAGAAAGGCATGAATGCATCCCTCTTCACAAATTTTCCTTCAGAGTCAAGAAAATGCTCAGGATAGAATTCATGAGGTTTCTCCCACTGGGATTCATCATGGAGCACAGAAGTCAGCAAGGGAATGACATGGGTGCCCTATAAAGAGAAAGGATAAAAGCAATGGTGGGATTCTGCCGGTTCTAGGGGGTTCGGCCGAACCCTTTGTTAAATTGCTGGCTCACCCCGCCCCTTGCCCCGCTCCTCCGCACCACTATTTATTGCCAATAAATAGTGGTGGGCGAGGGGTGGGCGAGCCAGCAATTTAACAAATGGTTCAGTGTTTTTTTGTAATTTTATTGGCCCGCAGAGCTTCAGCATAAGCTAATTAGCCCCTTGATTCTATCGGCCTCCCGACTCTCAGCTGATTTGCTCTCAGCTGTTTTGCTCAGAGCTCTGCTGCTTGCTTGCAAAGAGTGCAGATTTTTTTTCCCTATCTATGCTGAAAAACGAAACTGAAAGTAAAAGCCTGCTTTACTGTTGCTGCAACGTTGGAAAATTAGGCAGGCAGGTTTCTTTTCTTTTTCCTCACCAAAAAAGATAGGTGCAAACTACCTTTAGTGGAAAGGTAGTTTTCCCTAAAGAGGTAGTTCCTCTTTAGGGAAAAAAAGGAGAGTTCAAGATTTTAAAACACAAAAGAAAAAAAGCTCTATTTAACTAGGGAATTGTAATAATTGAGATACTATTAATTGTATATTGTGTTGAAAGCAGAAATGGTTAAATTGTGGTTTGGAGGAATATATGGGGGAAATTATTTGGTTTATTATTATTGGTAAATATAATTAATTGATTTGTAAGAAATTGGATTGCATGGAAATAATTGGAATATTCATGTTCATATTGATTAATATACAAAAAGGTAGTTATATAACTAATTGATTTATATTAAAATGTTGAATTTGTATTAAACAACTGTATTACATAATTAACCAATGTGAGGATGGATATAAAAATAGATGACAATGAGAAGGGGTATAATATAGAATAGAAGGGAAAAATTGAATTTGATTAAGATTAGAGATGAGGATGAAGGGTAATATTGTTTTTTTTTTAAAAAAAAATAAGGAATAAAGATGGCAAAAAGGAAATATAGAAATTGTAATTTTAATTGAAATGACTAAACACTGTTTAAATTTGTGAACTGGCCAAATACTCTGTTCAAAGAAAATACATTGTATGTTTGTATGTGTGTTTCTAATTACTGCTATTTATTCATATTTATTCTCTTTTATTCTTTAAAGTTTAACAATTCATTCTTTATCTTAATATCTTTATATTTGTTTGGGGTTGCCTTTCTTCCATTTCATCTTTTTTTACTGTACAGCAATCTTTCTCCTCAAACCTACCACCTCTCTCTTTTCTTTCCTTCTTACTTTCTCTTCCCCCCCTCTTCTTCTCCTCCTCTCTTCCTCCCTCTCTTACCCTCACTCTTACTCTAATTTCCCTTTCCTTCCTCCCTTCTCTTCCTTCCCTGTCTCTCCTTCTTTCTTCCATCTCTCTTCTCCTTCCTTCATCCCTCTCTATTGCTGTATCCTTTTGTGCATATGGATTACTCAGAGGACTGAAAAAGTTATTTTTGATCGGTCCTCGCACTTTTGACCAGTCCTCGCACTTACGACTGTACTCACATTTTATGTTTTGCACCCTATCTTGTCACTGTGGTGAAGACAAGTAGTGGTGAAATGACTGACACAGTTGTTAAGAATGCCGCAATGGGCATAAATGTGAGGAAGGTCATAAGTGCGAGGACCTGTCAAAAATGTGAGGACCAGTCAGAAATGACTTTTTTAGGTGTTGTTCGTCAGCTAAGCGTTTTGTTCTGGAAATGAGTGTCTTGGCTACAGAGTTGATCTGGGCAGGGTGGTGGTGTGAGAGTGCATGCAGATAGCGGTTTGTGTGTGTTTTCTTTTGGTAGATAGTGTGTCCTAGGGAGCCATTGGATTTTCTGTAGACTAAGACATCCAGGAAGGGAAGTTGGTTGTTCGCTTCTGTTTCCATGGTGAACTGTATTTTAGGGTGTAGGCTGTTGAGGTGTGTGAGGAAGTTGTCCAGTTTTTCTTTCCCATGTGGCCAGATTATGAAGGTGTCGTCTACATATCTGAGCCAGAGTTTGGGTTTGTGATCAGATTTTTCTAGAGCTTGGGTTTCAAAGTATTCCATATAGAGGTTGGCAATGACAGGTGAGAGGGGTGATCCCATGGGTGCTCCTTCTATTTGTTTGTATTTCTGTCCATTATAGATGAAGTATGTGTTGGATAGGCAGTGGTTGGTCAGATCTAAGATGTGCTTAGGGGGGTTATATTTGTTTTGGATAACTGTCAAGGCTTCTTTGATTGGTACTTGGGTGAAGAGGGATATGACATCGAAGCTCACGAGTAGGTCACTGGGCTGTAAGTTTTGTTGCTTTATGATGTCTATGAACTGGAATGAGTTTTTTACGTATGAGGTGATGGATTCTGCATAGGGCTGTAGTTGTTTGGCAAGAAATTTGGCTAGGTTTTGTAGAGGTGAGCCTATGGAGCTGACTATGGGTCTAAGTGGGGTTCCTTCTTTGTGTATCTTGGGGAGACCATAAAGCTTAGGGATCTGGATGATTTCTCTCTGGGAATGATTCTTTGCTGAATCTCTTCGCTGATGGGGGAGGCTTTTATTTTGGCTCTGGTAGTTTTTTCCAGGTAGGTGGTGGGGTCTGTGTTTAGGGGTTTGTATATGGAGTCTTGGAGTAGGTTGGTTAATTTGGTTTGGTAGTCAGATGTGTTCATAACCACCGTGGCATTGCCCTTGTCTGCTGGTAGGATTATTATGCTGGTGTCTTCTTTCAGGTTAAGTAGTGCTGTCTATTCCTCTTTGGGTAAATTACTTTTGGGTGGCTTGCTGGTGCAGAGGATGTTGGTGATTTTGAGTCTGATTCTGTTTGCGTCGTCGGGGTTGATTTTGGTCAGGCTGGTTTCAACTCCGCATATAATGGTTTCAGTGGGGATGCTTTTGGGAGCGACTGCAAAGTTGAATCCTTTGGAAAGGACATTGGTTTCGGCTTTGGTGAGGATCCTATCTGAGATGTTATGCGCTGTTTGTTTCATGTGTGGCTGTGAGGGTGGAGGGGATTGTTTCTGGCATTCTTGTAGTCTTCGGAGTTTGTTGGTGTGTGTCTGTCTTGAGGGTGGTCTGTGTTTCGGCTCTCCAGACGGCAAGTTGTTTGGATTTGTCCCAAAGTGCGGGGTGGATCTTGTTGCTGAGTTTGAGGTGAAGTGTGAGGAGATCCTTGTTGATTCAGTCTAGGAGGAATCTTTTTCTGTGGAGTTCATTTCTGATTAGGGCTAGTTCTTTTCAGAATGCGTTTGGTGGCTGCAGAGTTGGAGTGGAATTTCAGTTGGAAGCCTGTGGGGATTAAATTTTGATCCCGGCAATTGCGTAGGAATGCAAGGTCACATAAAATGGAAGCTCTTTGGACTTCGAGTTTTTCATAGGTCCTGGTCAGATGGTGGATTTCCTCCCCGTAGAGGTGCGATATTTGTTTTCTCAGATTTTCGCGGGTGTTTGTATGTAGGTCTTTGGTTATTCGGGTCTTCTCCCACGTAAAATTGGAAGTGTCTTGGCGACGTTTCAACAAAGTCTCATTCGTCATCTTCAGGCTGGTGTTCTCGGCTTCGTGCTTCCAGGAGCAATGTGAGATCGCAGCTGTCTCTTCCTTTTAACTGCTAGTGGGGGTGTGAGCTGATTGGGTGGGAACTTGGCTGTGTTCTGATTGGGTGGAGGTATGTTCTGATTGGTTAGGGGCTTGGCTGTGTTCTGTTTGGGTGGGGGCTTGGTTGTGCTCAGCTTAGTCTGAGTTGCAGGGGGATTTGAGCTGGTGAGCTGCGTTGTTGTTTGGCTTCGTGTTTGTGGCCGTGTGAGCTCTTCATGGTGGGTGTCAGTCTGCTTCATGTATGGATTGGAGGGGTTTAAAGTGGCTAATGATGCAGCTGCGGTCTGGCTTCTGGTCCTTGGTCATGGCTTATTATCTCATTATCTCATTATATATATCTCCATTTTTCCACACAGCGAATGCACCTCAGTTTTAAACATCACTTTTTTTTTTTTTTTGCTTTTGACTTACATGTTTAATTAATTATCTGGTTGTATACTGATTTATTTTACACACACACACGCCTTGCTAGACTACTATAAATGTAATTTTTTTACCTCTTTTTACTGCTTTGCTTTGGAGTTATGAAACAGTTTTCCTTTTTGGTATATGGGAACCAATGGCTCAAAAACTTTCTCTTTGGTAATGAAATGATTTGATTTGATCTGATTTATATTTGTATCATATTTCTACTGCAAGGATTTTATATTTTACTAGTTTTTTTAAAAAAATTGCTGATTTTTCTTTTGTAGCTATCTTTAATCTTTCTTTTTCTTTCTAAAAAAAATAGAAATTTTCACTTTATTTTCTATTTACTCTCTATTCTGAAAAATAATATTTTAATTTTTCCCATGGTCATTTTTTTATGGAACATCTACTTCTTTTGTCCTTGAGAGGAATTGACTATATTTTGTTGTCAAAGTCCAAGTATAAACAAAAGTTGGATTATATTAAAAATGAAAACAACAAAGAGATGGGGAGTGATGGGTTAAAACTGAAACTTGGCAAGACAGAGTGACTCTGGGTTTGGGGTTCTTTGGTCCATGGAAAATAGCCATCTTTGGTCTTGGATGAGGTGGCACTGCCACTTACAGACTCAGTGCATAATCTGGGGGTTCTCTGTTGACTCATGACTCCTGCTTGAAAAGCAAGTGGAAGTCGTGACCAGGATGACCTTTGCACGTCTGCAGATTGTGCACCATTTATACCAGTGGTGAAATCTGAACCAGTTTACTACTGGTTCGCTGGCTGCGCATGCGCGCTGCACACCAAATGTGCAGCGGAGACCCGGTAGTAAAAAATGCCTAAAAAGTAAAAAAAAAACAAAAAACAACTTCCGATAATCAGCTGAGTGACTCACGATCTTTGGAACTTTTTTTTTTTTACTTTTTAAAGCATTTTTAACTACCAGTTCCGGAGAACCGGTAGTAAAAAAAATGCTAAAAAAGAAAAAAAAAGTTCCGACAATCGCACGTCACTCAGCTGATTGTTGGAACTTTTTTTACATTTTTTACTACCGGTTTGGGTGAACTGGACCGAACCGATAGCATTTCACCCCTGATTAACACCCATTCCTAGACCAACAATTCCTCTTATCGTCACTCATGCCCTTGTCACCTCCTGTCTTGACTATTATATCTGGAAGCTCCTGTTGGTCCAAAATGCAGTGGGCCATGTGGTTTTGAGCTTATCTCAGTGTGCACATGTGTCACCTTTGCTATGGGAGCTGCATTGGTTGCTGATTTGCTTGAGACCAGGTTATCTTAGGGATCATCTCTTGCTGATTACTTCCACCCGATCCACTAGAATGGGGAGGCAAGGAATGTTGTGAATTCCCTCACTAAGGAGTTACATTTGGCAGGACCCAGAAGGATGGCCTTCTCTGTGGTGGCCCCTTCCCTCTGGAACAACATCCCTGCAGAAATTAGACTGACCATCAGTTTGGCAACCTTTTGGAAGGCCCTGAAGGCTTGGTTTTGCCAGCGGGCCTGGATTGCGATGGAGCCCATCAAATGCCTTATTTAATTGTGTGCTGCTGTTGGGGTGGGGTCATTGTTTTTATTTTATTTTATATTGTATTGTATTTTTATTGATTCTAAGTTGCCTAGAGTTACTGTGAGTAGGCAGCTATATAAATTTTCTAAATAAAATAATAAAAAATAAGTTGTATTTTATTATATTGAAACACTTTACCTTACATTTGTGGAATCAAAATTCAGGCCCCAAAACCAATATTCAAGACTAACAGAAGACAAGGAGGGGCTATAAAGCAATAAACTAAGAAAGGGAGAAATGAAAGAATAAAACAAAGGAAGAAAGTGTCTCTCATATATCAAGATGTAGGGCAGTTTGGGATTGCCAGATGCCAAAGGAAAGCATCTCCCATTGGCATCTATGGAAATTATTCTAATAATATAACAGTTTCCAGCGTTATAACTTGATTTAGCCAATTTCATTCATTTAAGGTCTGCTTTTTTCTACCACATTGTACACGAAAGACCAGTACCTATATAATACATTGATTTTAGATTGATCACCTTGGGGATGAAGAAGCCTTTCAAAGTTATGTCCATGGTGGTTGAATGTGGCAAATTGGATGGAACAATATCACCAAATCTTTGAATTTCATGAATTACAGCATCAGTGTAAGGCATTTTGGCTCGGTGGTCTGTCCTTGGCTGGATATCACCAATCTCTTTTGCAATTTCTTCTTGGACCTTTCCTAGGAAAACAAAATGATCAAGGTGATTCCTTTTTTTGAATTTTGTTTTAAATCGGAGTTAATGTATAAACTCTAATTCTGAATGAAAACAACAGTCACTGCCTGTAATCATTGAATGAAACAACGATCACTCATGAATTATTTACAAATAGACTACTGTAGTCTGCTGTACATTTGGAAGTCTTGCAGGCCACTCAGACATTATACCCAGCCTGATATGTGGCAATATAGATAGTGATTTGCACTCCTCGTTATGCCCATGTGAGCCCAAAGGACCAATTGTAGTAGGATTCTGAATTCAATTCAAATGCTGGTGAGATTGCCCAAGTGGGTCCATCAATTAATGGCATTTAGTGGGACTCCAGAAAGCATGCCTTTTTGGAACTGGTGCCTGCGCTTTGGAAAGCTACCATCCAGATCCAGATTGCTGGCGCTCTGATGTCATTGCTGTCACTTTGAAGTAAACATATAGACTGGGTGAAACCAGTCTTAATAACTGTGAGAGGGGTCTTGGAGTCTTAGTGGACAACCAATTAAATATGAGCCAGCAGTGTGCAGTGGCAGCCAAAAATAGCCAATGCAATCCTAAATTGCATTAACAGGGCATACAATCAAGATCAAGTGAGGTACTAATACCACTCTATAAAGACCACACCTAGAGTACTGCATCCAGTTTTGGTCACCACAGTATAAAAAAGATGTTGAGATTCTAGAAAAAGTGCAGAGAAGAGCAACCAAGATGATTAGGGGACTAGAGGCTAAAACATTTGATGAACAGTTGGAAGTACTCGGCATGGCTAGTCTAGTGAAGAGAAGAGAAGAACCAGGGAAGATATGATAGCAGTGTTCCAATATTTGAGGGGCTGCCACAGAGAGGAGGGGGTCAAGCTATTTTCCAAAGCACCTGAAGGCCAGACAAGGAATAATGGGTGGAAACTAATCAAGGAAAGATTCAACCTAGAAATAAGGAGAAATTTTCCGAGAGTGAGAACAATCAACCAATGGAACAGCTTGCCTTCGGAAGTTGTAGGAGCTTCATCACTGAAAACTTTCAAGAAGAGATTGGACTGCCATTTGTCAGAAATGATGTAGGGCCTCCTGCTTGGATGGGAGGTTGGACTAGATGACCTACAAGGTCCCTTCCAACTCTGTTATATGTTAATCTGTTATTCAGAAAACTACTGAGGATCTGGTTTTTCTCTTGACTTTATGATAAGTTGAGGCTGGAGCCCTGGTTAGATGGCTTTTGTTTTTTCTAAGTCTTCAGGCGATTTTTGATTTTTTTCTTTCTTTCTTTGTAAACTATAAGCAACTCAGAACCACCACAGTCATGTGATCCCCAAATTGCTAAATAAAAGCAAAATTAAAAATAAATATTTGGAGAACTGGTGCTAAACCATGAAGGAACTTTGTTACATATTGAGGAACAAAGCAAATTTATATAGGAGAGAACATCACAAAGATATAGAGAAAAAAATTATATATGACAGAACTATAACAAAGATACAGAAAATATTATTAGTAATAGTTTTAAAAGTGATATCATCCATGGAGTTCATAATTTGCTTAGGTACATCCAGAAATATTTCATCTGCACTATTAAAAGATAATGTCATGGACTTCCGGTTTCCTCGTCTTCGGCGGCGGCGGTGCCTTTTGAAGCTCCGCCAGCCCCGCCGCTTGTAGAGCCGCTTCGCGACTAAGAAGCGGCTCGAAAACTTCAAAAATCTCTAGGATTTTTGAAGAGAGATCGCAGGGCACAGGTTGAGCCCCTGCAACCCCCCCAGGGAATAGTTTCTGGGGAGGGAACAGGAGCGACTCCCATTCAACCTGCTGGAACTCCGGGCGGCGTGGGACAAGTCTGCTTCTGCAGAACAAGCTGGCTACAGGAAACTTTAAACTGAAAGAAAAGGAACCAGCCTTAATAAGCAGCATACTGTTACTTGAACCCTGAAACTCGGAATCGCAAGTATTAGAGTTTTCTTGGCTTTCTAATCTGAGTGAAAAAATGCGGATGAGTGAAAGTGAACTGTAAAAACATGGCGCTTAGCCTTAGAGTTAACGAGCTGGCGAGTGTGGATTGCTGAACTCATCTTGCTTTGTTACAAAGTTTCTAAACTGCTACGAAGTTGCTTCGCTTGCAACAAGAGAAATAAGAGAGAAATTTCTCCTTTTTCAATACTGGACTTTGCTTTACTTTGGTTCTTATTTGATTAAATCTGGGGGACTTTTTTAGAAGTCTTTGTGGAGGTGGGAGAGGAAGAAGAACTTCCCTTTTTAGTAAAACCAGCCTACGTGGCAGGATGGCCTCAAAGAAGCAGGAAGCGAAGGCAACAGGAGGTGGATCTCCCACACATAAAGCACAGCCTCCCCCAGTACAACAGATACAGACTCAGAAAAAAGATTTTGATGTGGGAGATTTAAAAGAATTTATTTCTAAAACTTTGGATGATAAATTTCAAAAATCTCAACAGGAGATAGATGATAAACTTCAAAAATCACATCAGGAATTTATGCAGGAAATTAATGAAGTTAAAGATATGGTGAAACAGAATCAAAACAAGGTGACCAAAAAAATATCAGAAGTGGCGTCTGGCCTGGCAGAATTTATTGTGAAAGTTGATTCTAAAGTTGAAGAACTTAAATCAGAAGTTAATGTTAAGATGAAAGATAATGATTATAAAATTGCTGATGTTGACAATAAAATGCAAAGAGTTGAAAATGAGATTGTGATGGTACAATTCAGGGCAATGGAGTTTGCCATACGGCTTCGAGGAATTCGAGAAGAGGAAAGATAGGATTTGAGACAGGTTTGTTCTGAGGCCCTGGCCAAGATTCTACAAGTTAATCCTGATGTGGTTTTTCACAAAATAGATAAAATTTACAGAGTGAATTCTTGGGTGGCCAGACAAAGACAATTGCCCAGAGATGTGGTCATATATTTCACAGATAGAGAAATAAGAAATGACATCCTGCAAAAATCCTTTTACACTTCTGTGCAAGTGGGGGGCTCACGAATTGGAATTTATAAAGAATTACCTTCTAAAATGCTGAAAACCAGAAAAGAATTTGGCTTTCTTGTTAAGGAATTGCAAAATTTACAGATACCATTTCGGTGGGACGCCCCAGCTGGTATAATTTTCAGATACAAGGGAGAAAGATATCGTTTGAACACTGTGGAGAAGGCAGAGCACTTTTACACTACTATTCTTAAGGAAAGAACACCATCCCCACGTACATCTACAGTTTTGGAGATTAAGGAGAGTGATGAGAAGCAACCTCAACGAGAACTGCAAGAACAGTCTAAGCAGGAATTAGAGGAAATGCAAGGCGCAGAAGGAGGTTTTCTGGATGAGCCTTTGCTGGAATCTTCTCCAATCTTGGACCTGGTTCGGATGATCGAAGTTAAGGATCAACGCATAACTCGAGCTCAATCTAAGTTACTTAAACAAAAGCAACAACAACAACAGGAAAGACAAGACAAGGCAGTTAAGAGTACTGCACAAGAGACTGGAGCCATGGGGGGAGCAAGATCGAAGCTTTCGGATGACCTTCGATTATTCTGCTCTTTGCTCCAGAAAGATGAAGATGACGTTTAAGTGTTTATCTTGGAATGTTAACGGGTTGAATTCAGCACAGAAAAGGAAGAAATTATTTACATATTTGAAACAATTTAATAATGATATAATTTGTTTACAAGAAACGCATATCACAACTCAAGATCAAAAATATTTGATAAACTCCAAACTAGGAACACATTTTATATCTTCAACTTCGCAAAAAAAGAATGGTGTGGTTATTTATGTAAATAAAAAGTTAACAGCTAAAGTTATAGAAGCAGATGAAGATGGTAGGTTTATAGCAATTGAATTGCTTACAGCAAATGGCCAAATTCTTCTGATTGGAATTTATGCTCCCAATCAACAACAGGACCATTTCTATAAGATGTTACATACTAAAATACTGCAATGGGACTACAGATCTATTTTAATTATGGGAGACTGGAATGGAGTAATTGATTCTAAATTAGATAAAAAGAGTTTGGCAAAGTCTAGGATCAGATTACCACAGACTTTTTTTGACATGAAAGAAGATATGGAACTAAAAGATGTTTGGAGAATACATAATCCAAAAGAATTGGACTATACTTTTTTTTCTGATAGACACAGATCCTTCTCTAGGATTGACTTCATTTTGCTGTCAGATGACTTACTTGTCAAGACAAAGATTTTTCCAAGAACTTTGACTGACCATAGCCCAGTATGGATAGAAATTGAGATGGATAAGGTTGAGAGACGTTCTTGGAGATTAAATGAGAACTTGTTTAGATATGAAAAAAATACAACAGAACTTAAAAAGCATTTGAAAGAATTTTTTGAAATAAATTTGAATAAAGGTACCCCAATTGAAATTGTGTGGGACGCAAGTAAAGCTTATATGAGAGGGGTACTTATCTACATGAACTCTAAACATAGACTGTTTCGACAAAAAAAAAGATCTGAATTGGAAATAGAAATAAAGAATAAAGAACAGTTACTTATTAAAAATCCAACAGATGAAAGAATATGCAGTGCTATAAAACTTTTGAAAGACCAATTTCAAATGCTTATGGCGGAACAAGTTGCAACAAACTTACAATATGCGAAGCATAATACATTTTGTAACGCTAATAAACCGGGCAGATGGTTGGCTTACACATTGAGGAAAAAACAAAGTATACGGACTATTGATAGTATAGATATTGGAGAGAAAGAAATTTTTCAACAAAAATTAATTAAAGAAGCTTTTGTGGACTATTATACCAAACTATATGCCAAAGAGGAGGTGCAGAATGGATTTATAGAAAAATATTTAAACGATAAAAGAGTTACAAAAATTACTGATCAACAAAAGGAAAGAATGAATTATCCTATAACAGAGGAGGAGATAATAGTAGCAATTAAACAGTTAAAAACAGCCAAAGCTCCTGGCACGGATGGTTTGACCGCAGTGTATTATAAAACTTTGCAAGCTGAAATGGTGGAACAACTCAGAGATTTATTTTGCAATATTCAACAAGGGGGTAAAATACCCCCATCATGGACAACAGCTTATATATCTTTGATACCAAAAGAACAAGTCGGTCCTAAAAAACCAGAGAACTATAGACCAATATCTCTTCTGAATACAGATTATAAAATCTATGCGAAAGTATTAGCCAACAGGTTGATGCCAGTAATCCAAAAGGTGATTCATGATGATCAAGCGGGATTTATCGAGGGCAGACACATGAAGGATAATGTAAGGCAAGTAATAGACTTATTGGAATATCTTGAGAAGAATAAACAGATTCCTGCAGTGCTGGTCTTTTTGGATGCAGAGAAGGCCTTTGATAGAGTGGATTGGAATTTTCTACTAAAGACTTTAAAAAAGATGGATTTTGGGGATCAATTTATACAGGCGATTTCAGCAATTTACCAAGAGCAAAAGGCACAGATTATTATTAATGGAAGTTTGACAACAGAGTTTAAAATTGAAAAAGGAACAAGACAGGGATGTCCGTTGTCCCCACTTTTATTTATTCTAACACTAGAAGTCTTGCTAAATACAATACGGGACTCTAATATCTTGAAAGGTATAATGATTAGGCAAGAGGATTACAGAATAAAGGCATTTGCAGATGATCTGGTTATTACCCTATCACAACCAATGGAATCAATAATCCTGATGAAGGACATTATACAAGACTATGGTAAAGTTTCAGGTTTTAGACTGAATTCAAAAAAGACTAAAATGATAGCTAAAAACATGACACAAGATCGTAAACATGAGCTTGAAAGGAGGGCAGGTTTTGAGACTGTACCTAAGGTAAAATATCTAGGAGTTCAGGTTGCAGAATCAAACATGAAATTGTTTCAAAATAACTATGAGGTGTTGTGGCGAGAGGTGCAGAAAGACATGGAGACTTGGAAAAAACTGCAGCTGTCTCTACTTGGAAGAATAGCAGCAGTTAAGATGAACATTTTGCCAAGATTTCTTTTTTTGTTTCAAATGATTCCGGTGCTTAAAAGTGATAAACAATTGAAAATCTGGCAAACTGGACTCAATAAGTTTGTCTGGAACGAGAAAAAGTCGAGAGTGAAATTGAAAATTATGCAAGATGTTCCAGAAAGAGGAGGTCTTAAACTTCCAAACCTACAGTTATATTATGATGCAGCAGCTTTAACTTTAACAAGTGATTGGTTTGGAAGTAAAAAGGCTGGAATATTGAATGCAGAAAGTTTTGATCTTGAATTTGGATGGCATGCTTACTTATTTTATGATGACAAAGTTGATAAAGTATTTAAAAGTCATATACTTAGAGACTCTTTGATGAGAGTTTGGAAGAAGCACCGACTCAAATGGGATTATAAAATACTGCTATGGCTGGATCTTGGTCATACTTTGTGGAATACAAATATAATGTCACTCGGGGGGGGTTTATACAAAGAGGTTCTTTTTACAGATGCGGGCAGATGGCAGCTGAAGACATTGCAGACACTGTTGGACGAAGGGATTAATTTAACTTGGTTACAATATAATCAATTACAATTGAGATGGAAAGAGGACCAAAAAACTGGTATTATGTTGCACGAGGAAGAATTGGTTAGACATATAAAAGAGAAAGGTCCAATGCATATCAAAAGGCTTTATAATGTTTTGCTAGAAAGGGACTCAGAAACTGAATTAGTTAAAGATTGTATGATTAAATGGGCACAAAATTTTGAAGAACCAGTGATGTTGGAAACATGGGAAAAAATTTGGGTTCAGAATGTTAAATTTACACAATCGCAGAACCTGAGGGAAAATTTCTATAAAATGTTTTATAGATGGCATTTAGATCCCAAAAAGTTGTCATGTATGTACCCTAATGTTCAGCCAAAATGTTGGAGATGTGAATGTTTGGATGCTACGTATTATCATGTTTGGTGGACCTGTAGGAAAGTTAAGGCTTTTTGGATAAAAATTTGGTGGGTTATGCAGAATGTTTTGAAGAAAAAAATTCAATTCTCTCCACAATTGTTTTTATTGGGCATAGTTAAGGGTTTTACATCGGGTGAAACAAAATTGATATTGTATATGATAACAGCAGCAAGATTGTTGATAGGTAAATATTGGAAAAATGAAGCTTTGCCCACTATTGAAGAATGGACTTTGAAGATGGCCAGTTTTGCAGAGATGGCGAAGATTTCAGCATACTTAAAAGATTGTTCACAAGAGACTTATGAATGGGAATGGAAAAGGTGGATAGAATATGTTCAGAACAAATATCAAACTAGAAAGTATCAAATAGCTTTTATTTGAAAATAATGTATTAGAAATATTTTAATGTAATGAGGTAAAAAGAAAAATTATACAGGGGAGGGAGGGGTTCAAGTTTACACATAAGTGTCATACTAAGGGTTTTTTTTGTGTGTGTGTGTTTTTTTTTACCAGTTATGAGTATATTATAGGGAAGTCTGGGGGGAGGGGAGGGTTAGGGAGGGTTAGGGAGGTTGGGAAGTTTGGGGCGGGTGGGGGGGGGAAAGGGGTGAAAATGTAATTGTAAAACTTTTGCAATAATAAAAAAAAAAGATGCCATAAAGCAGTTAAAAAGGTCTTGGAAAAGATATTCAAATGTCAGAATGCCTCTACCAACAGAATCACAATGCTGTGGTATTCCCTGTGACGCCGTGTAAAAGTGAAAGTTGGACTTTGAATAACCAGGAAGACCAGAATATTGAAGTTTTTCATGTTGGAGAAGACTCCTGAGAATACTGTGGACAGACAAGAATGGGGGGAGGGGAGGGTTAGGGAGGCAAAGGGGGGGGAATGGGAAAATTTGTATTTGTAAAACTTTTTCAATAAAAAATAAATAAATGAGTTCCCCCCCCCCAAAAAAAAGATAATGTCATGAAACAATGTATGTTTGTGCTGCCTCTCCCACTGGAAACAGGCGATAGATCACAAGCTGGGCTCTTATGGGCTCTCATTGATATTCTTAATTTATTAATTTATTTATTTATTATTCATAATTCTATGCCGCCAACTCTCCAAGGACTCTGGACAGCTTACAACAAAGACAACATGAACAATATATTGCCCCCAGCAATCTGGGTCCTCATTTTACCCACCTTGGAAAGATGGAAGGCTAAATCAACCTTGAGCTGGTGAGATTTGATCTGCTGATCTGCTGAACTAATAAGTCAGCTGAAGTAGCTGCAGTACTGCACTCTAACCACTGCACCACCTTGGCTCTTAATGTCCCTAGGCTTTGACAAAGCAAAGCAAGTAGTAATTGATAGAATGAAGGACATGGAGTTCCAAGAACTAAATAGGTTGCCTCTCCACAGTAGGGACAGAATTTCAGAATTATAAATGTCAACTGGTGCCAATTTTTTGGAGATATCTATAACAATTTTTGGAAAAATAAATTTACTCACATCTTATCGGCTCTCCACTCATGTAAATTAGGGAGTGACCCTAATGGTTTGAGATCATGTATTTTCATAACAGGGATGTTATTATTCACTATTAATGTCAGTATTATTTTTAATTTATTGTATGTCTATTGCTGGTAGATGACCGTAATAAAGTTTATATTCTATTCTGTTCTATTCTGTTTGTGCTGCATATCCCATGATATTAATCTGTGATCTTCTGTGTTAACACTTATTCCTCTTCTTTCTCCTCCTTTTAAGAATATTTCCATTTAGCGAAGAGATGAACTAATGATGGACTATTAGCTTATTCTTTCAGCTCAGAGAAAGAATGAAATGTAATTTGGAGCTCATAAAGATGTGTCAAAGTCAGATTACAATTGAAATACATTGTTCTTAATCGAAAGTCATTTCCCTCTTGCCTCATACTAGGGTAGGAAGGGCAAATTTTCCCTAAAAACTAATAAAAAGGAAACAAAAAATACAAGAAACATTTTAATAATGTCTATGTAGCTTTAAATGGTTTGAGTTTATTAAAACTCAATTTCCTTTGGGAGATAAGTTTATTTACTTTTAGTGAGATCAATGTTGTTTTGATCATTTGAAAAACAACTTAATTCTTGGTTCACCACTTTCCCTTTGTTCAAGTAACATTCCAGATGCCAACAATTCTTTTTCAGTCATTTTTATATATTTATTCCAAGTCAATGAAATGAAAGTGCTTACTCTGGATTTCTGGGTGCTTCATCATTAGGAGTATGGCCCAGCGCAGAGTGTTTGCCGTTGTGTCTGTACCAGCAGCAAATAAATCATCTACAAGACCTATAAGATTTTCGTTATGGAAATATCCACCATGTGTCATCTTCATATTCTCCTGAAGTGTATAAAGGAAATACTAGTAAGGAAACTCAACCTAACCACATAACGCATATTCCTGAAATCTCAGACGGCACTTTATATGTGCCTACCTGAGAAGTTATAGTTGCCCCAACACTACTGGATTTCTAGAAGAAAAACTCTAAAATCAAACAGTTGCACAGAAAGAGAAAAGATTGGCACAAAGGAATCACCCACTCCTATCCCCACTTGGACCTACTCCTCTAGAAAGAGATCAATATTTACAGCATTTTTAATGGAGAAAGAAATCAATCTGGATAAAGTTTTAAGTAGCTGCAGATTCTGAAATAAAGTAACAAAGAGTGAATGATTAAAATTGCTCTAGAAATTTGTTTCCTTCCATATTTTCAAAACAAGGATCTTAGCAAGTAGTTTATGAACTACTCAAGATGAAGGCATATTTTTAAAATATATATTTAAAAAAACAAATAATTATACCTATAAAATATACCATTACCTGTTTTTGCCGAACAAGAAATGACTCAATAAAATTTCTCTGGTCATTTTCATCAAGATCTTGGAGATATTCTATGAAGGTGGTCTTTATGAAATCTTGGAACTCTTTTTCATTTTTCATTACTTTTTTAGGAGCACCCAAAAGGAACCCCAACTTGGGAAACAAATTGTATATCTGAAAGAATGATAAAAGAAAAACACATATTATTGAAGTGAATACTTTGAATTTCTGAGATGGACAACTCAAACATTGTTATGTTTCCCAAGTCTACAAAACAAACAAAACCCCCAATAATATGCAAGATCACATAACTGAATAAGCTTTGGATAATCAATATTGCTAATTTACTAAGCCCCAAATCCCATGGACTAAATCTCCAGGCAGGTTTTGGGAGAGGAAGTGCTTATTTTCTACTACATCATGTGGATTCCCAAACAAGGAATAGGAATGATCAATAAAAGAAACTCAGCAAAAGTTCTAAACAAGGGAGCTATTTATTTATTTATTTATTTATTTATTTATTTATTTATTTATTTATTTATTTTATTCAATTTGTATCCCGCCCTTCTCCTAGTGGACTCAGGGTGGTGCACAGCCAGAACTAAAACACATACCAATACAAAATTTAAAAATTTTAAAAGAATTATATTCAAACTAAAACCCATTGACAATTTAAAAGGCTAAAACAAAAGGGGGGGGTCACGCCAGCCCTGCTTGATGGAAAAGAAAAGTTTTTAGGGCATGGCGAAAGACCCGGAGATCCGATATCCTTCGTATCTCCGGGGGCAAATCGTTCCAGAGGGCAGGAGCTGCCACAGAGAAGGCCCTCCCCCTGGGGGTCGCCAGCCGACATTGCCTGGCTGACAGCACCCTGAGGAGTCCCTCTCTGTGGGAGCGTACTGGTCGGTGGGAGGCTATCGGCGGCAGAAGGCGGTCCCGCAAATTTAGTATATGTAAAGTTGTGTAGTAGTGTAAAGAGTAAAAGAACGATGGAAAGGTATTTGCAATGATGGAATTGCAATCATGCTCCCACTTCTCTAAGTTCACATGTCTTTGCAAGGAACAGGGAGGAAATGATGAAGCATGCATCATGAGGTCATGATGCTAAAAGTGATTTTCATACTTGAATAAGATGTTTACATACAACTATGTAAGGTCAGGATTTGAATCCAGATGTCATCATGTTCATATTGCCTTTGGATGAAATCTTGCTACAGATGCTCATGAGAAGTAACATGCTCTGCTTCTCAATAAAGCTTGAATGACACACATTCTGCTGCCTATTTTTTGTGACATTTTTTATAAAATAAAAAATTTGATTACCAATGCAGCAGGGCTTCCCGAAAGCTGAAGACTTTCATTTACTATCTTTAGTAGTCGCAAAAATGTGGCATCTTCATATTCATACCGTTTCCCAAGTAGAATACAAACTATGATGTTGGAAACAGCAGCACTCAGAATAGTTGTGATGTCAAAGGGTTTTCCTAGGCAAAAACAATAGATCAAAAAATCTACTATGTTTATATTCAAAATCAGCTTGTTTAAATTGAGCATTTATCATAGAAAACTATAGTTTGTGCTGGAAGTTTTGAAGTATTTACATTAAAAATATACAAAAGTTTAAAGGGTATTTTAGTTCTTCAAAGGCAGAATTGAAATATCTGACCATACATCAATGATATTTTCTTTGCAATTGTGGAATTTCTTGAGGATAAAATACTTGGCAAAGTTATTCCTCATTAAATGATTGCAGTTTTAAATATCAAATAGCGTCTGAGCTTCATAAAATGAAGGGAGGAAAAGTAGGCATATTATGTAGGAGGAAATTATAATAGATCTCAATGCAGATACTTATGGTTGTATCTAACCAATTGTTTCCAAGGGCAGAACAGAATGATTAAGATAATACCATAGTCACTTCCCACTCTCAAATCTCTGAACACAACAGCCAAAATACAATTCACTCTGAATGTTACAGAAGGAAAAGACTAAAATTCTAACCCTGGAAGGCAGATGCCTATAATTTGATTCATATGTTAATAAACTAATAAATCTCATACCTTTCGTTATTCCAATTGATATACCGAAAAGCAAAAAAGCAAGATCAGTTTTTAGATATGTAGACATACTCCACAAATGCAAACTCATTTGGCAGTTAGATGAAGAACTTTTAGTTTTCTAGATCAGCAGTCTGGGGGGGAGTGGAGATAGGAGCTGCGTGTAAACTCATGCACTCACCCGCCACTCGTGCAGCCCAGTTCCAAACTGGGGGGGTGAGGACCCTGTTCTAGATTATTATTATTTTATCACAGGCACTTCTAATCTCTTTTTCCTCAACTCAATTTTATTCATATCATTTCTAGGTTGCAAAAATACAAAGAACCTGTATAAAATGCCAATGATGAGAATTTTGTGTAGGTATTTAAGAGTAAGTCTAGAAGTGCTATTGATTAGAAACTGTCATGTTACATTGAATTAACTATTCAAGTCCTATGGAACCATTTTGCCATCTGTAAGTCACATTTCTATAAATATACTTAGCATAAATTGGACAAGAAAGCATATTTATAGGGAGAAAACAATGAGTTTAAAAATTGTTTGAGAGAAGATACTCCCAACACACTCCTTGTTCATTTGATATAATCTGTGTGAGAGTTTCTTGCAAAAATCAAATCCAGAAGCACACACAGATAAACTGATTCAGCAGGATTCATTAACTTCTTTATATACAAGAATAATACATGAAGTAAGTTTACAATACCAACAGCAGATTCACAGTTTCATTTCAGCAGAGCAGACAGCATGGACAGACACTGGTTTCAGTTTTGTTTCTCTGCACAGAATCAGAAGCTGCAGACTAAGACATGCCCTGGCTCCACTCTGTCTCAGCTCCCAATTGGCTGACTTAGTTGCTATGCCTATTCATTGGCTGACCTTGTTACCATGTCTTCCCAGTCATGAATATTCTGACAGATTGCAGAAATTATTTACCGTTCTACATTTATCTCAGAAGATGTTCCATTACAGCATATCAACCTACCTGCATAAGTCTCCATTGTCTTTGTTAAGACACTGCACTCTTCAATGATTTTGTCTTCAATGGTCCTCTTTCCCATTCCATAGTCCCGTAATGTGGATAATGTAAACCGCCGCATCACTTTCCAGTTCTCACCACTAGAAGAAACAAGACCTGAAGAGAAAAGGGGTAAGATAGTGAAACATAATTTTATCATCTATTCTATCACAACTCATTCTTGTTTCACAACTTCATTAAAACATGCTCTGTTAATTTGATCAAGCATTTCATCCATTCTGTCCAAAAACTTGACTAAAAGGTATTTCAAAGTTTGTGCTAAGGATTTCAGCTCCATTTTCATTGTCCTCGCCTTTGATGTTCAGCCCTCATTATCAAAACAAAACAAAACAAAACAAACAAAAATGAAAGCAATCTCCACTTTCCCATGAGCATGTATCTTCCAATTTATTCAAAACTATAATTCCAAATCCTTCTGACCCATAATCTTTTATTAATTTTCAAAAATCCATATACCAGGCACTCTTTTGTTGCATAATCCCAAAAGAATCTCATATTTTGAAAATCAAATTGACAGTATCTTTTAAGAATGCAGAAATTAACCAATGAGTACAATAAGACATACTGTAGCTGATGAAGAGGATCCTAATTTCTTCAATATGTAAAAAAATTTAAACAAATATTCCCAAAAAAGGGGATTAAGATATATGGTATGGCAGAATTTAAGGAATAAGGTTACTTGAATGAATGTGAACTTGATGTAGCCCTAAATCTCAGCCATTCCGCTTTCTCATAAGCAGATGATAAAAATGGTAGTATTGATGGTCTATTCATGAGGAGTGTCTGTCTGGAGTCACATGGATAATCTCAACTAGATTACTTCAGGTTTTATCCAGCATTCAGCAGCAAATCCATTCACAAATGCTGTCTTATTAGTTAACAAAAGTCCACAAGGCATCAGACTGCCGTGGAATTTATAGGAAGTGAAAAGTAATTTCATAGTGTACAGTTAGCAGCATAGTTAATCTTGTTTTATATGTAATCTTCGTAATCTTCACTGATGTGAAGATTGAAGGGCCTTTGAAAGACCCTAAAACTTGCCCAATGACAGCAGCCACTTTGTGAGCCCATTCCATGGGATTTCCTCCTGGCCATTACTTTGGCTCTCTGTTGATGGCATGAGAAGAATTGCAGTGATGCAAGAAATATTTGGATTTCATTAATAATGGTTTATCAATGGTAATTATCTGGTTTCTTTTGTAGTGAACACCCTCTTCAGTATCCAATAGAAAAATGTTAAAGCCAATTCTTTCTTATTCACGTCACCTACTTCCAACACTGCGGGTAATATTTTAATTTTTTTAGTGTTTCTCTATGTGTGTTGCCCTAACATAATAAATATATAATATAGATTTATAATGTAAAATGCTTTGCCAATTGGATCATACAGTGCTTCACATATTCATTCTCTAAATTCAGTTTCAATAACGATTTATACAACTTAGCAATAATGTATTCATCATTATCACACAATAGAGTTTGCAAAGTTCACTTTTTGCAGCTAGAAGAGCCTTTGCACAAGTTTGGTTTTTGTGCTAGTTGTAGTCTTTCCTGTATCAGTAGTCCCTATGCTTAGTCATTCAAGCCCTGATCATCCCACATCTGGATTACTGCAATGCTCTCTACATGGTGCTACTTTTGAAGAGCATTCAGAAGCTTCAACTGGTGCAGAATGTGGTGGCACAGGCAGTTTTTGGGGTCCCTAGGCTGCCCATGTTACACCACTCCTCTATGAACTGCACTGGCTGCTGGTCTATTTACAGGTGCAAGTCAAGGTGCTGGTTCCAACTCCTCTTTGGATTTGAGGGTAGGTTCACCATAATTAAAAGGTGCTTTTGACCGTAAGTCCACCTGTCTGGCCTCATTACCATCTCTTTTCAAAAGAAAGTTTCCTGGGGTGACACCCAAAGAGGCATCTTTGTGGAGAACTTTATATTTATTCCAAACCCTTAGGAGAAAATGCTTCTTGAAATCAACATTTAACTTAACCTTATCATACCATAAGTAGGCACGCCATCCAAATCTTAATTCATAGCTCTCTGGATCAAGTAACCTCTTGTTTTGGAGAGTCACCCACTCTTTAAGCCAGACCAAACAACAGACATCAATGTACAGTTTCAAATCTGACAAACCCAAATGAAATGCCTCATGAGGAATGGAAAAAAATGTATTAAGGGGGAGAAAGTGGCAAAAACATTGCACAAAAAAAGGTACAGTATGTACCACTATGTACAGATAGCCCTCAACATACGACCACAGTGGAGCCCAAAATTTCTGTTGCTAAGCAAGGCAATTGTTAAGTGAGTTTTGCCCCATTTTATGACCTTTCTTGCCACTGTGGTTAAATGAATCAGTGCAGTTCTTAAGTTGTTAACACAACCATGATTACTGAAACTGGCTTGCCTATTGACTTTGCATGTCAGAAGGTCACAAAAAGTGATCACATGACCCTGGGACATTGCAACTGTCATAAACACATGCCATTGTACTTTTTCAGTGCCATTGTAGCTTCTAATGGTCACTAAACTAATAGTTGTACGTGAAGGATTACCTACATATGAGCAGAAAAAACACACCTTCTACTGGGATTCCTCCACCCACCCGTCCCCCACCCCCAAATTTGCAAATAAGCAGACTCAAACATGGTGATGATGAGCAGCGTGCAAGGCTCATGGGCTTGGTACAATATTGATACAGGTTTTTTTATCTCCAGTTACCTCCATTGGCATTAAGGGGCAAAGTCATGCTGGCATTAAAAAGGTTTTAGTTGGATTTTCATCCTGGTTGGATTTGCAGAAGCTATCTCACTTACCTGAGATTCTTTTGGTGAAAACTTCAAATGAAAAGTTCCCCATTACACTGATCATACAAGGTTTGTCAACTACAATCCAGAATGAAATAACTCACCGTATCCTTTCACTGCATCTTCAAAAATGGGGATGACAGGCCTATCTGCAAATGCATCAGCCTGGTTCACTAGAGCTTCTTTGACTGTTTCATAGCCAGTCAGCACCACCATCTCCTGGAATCCCAGTTTGATGCGAAAAATGGGACCATATTCTTTTGACCACTGGAACAGCAGAAGAAAAACAAAGAGGCCATTTTGATCAACAATTAGACTCACATATGTAGAAGACCTTTAAGAAAGTATGAGTCAAAATTCAAGGGCAGAGATGATATTTCCTTTTTCTGTTCTATTGAGAAAAGAGATGGCATAAGCTTCTTTATAATTTTTAATATTTATATGGTCTATATTTAACATTAATTTAAAAATGCTCAGTAGAAAAACTATGAGAAGGTTTCTAATATGTTGGAACAAGTTCCTTTCTACAGGATATACTATGAATCATAGAACCATAGGACTTGAAGTCTTGTAAGTCTTCTAGTCTGGGGGTCCCCAGCTCCCAAACTGCTGATTTACACTAGTCCGGACCCTGCCAAGAACCATGTTGTGCAAGTGAGCAAAGTACCACCTGCACACACAGAGAATCCAGGCAGCGCAGAAAACCATTTCATCCTGAACTGTGGAAAAACCACACTCCGTAGAACTGGTTCCTGGCACCCAAAAAGTTGGGAGCCTCTGTTCTAGTCCAAGCCTCTGCTCAAGATGGGTGGCTTATACCATCCCCATTAAATTCTTGTCCAGTATATTTTTTAAAACCCACAAACCCAGAAGGCAAGCTATTCCATTGATTAATTGTTCTCACTGTCAGAAAAATTATCCTAACTTTTAAGTCAGGGGTGTCAAACTCAAGGCCCGTGGGCCAAATCTGGCATGTGGGGTACTTAAATCTGGCCTGCAGGGTCAGCCTGGAAATATCAAAGGACCAGCCCACAGTGCCTCTGCCAGCCAAAATGGGCCAACGGGGGCACATGCAGCCCAGCACGGCCCATTTTTTGCCTCCCCGACCTCCAGCCATGTGGGGCCTCTGTGTGGGCCATTTTTGGTTGGCTGAGTGCTGCAGGAGTCTGGGGAGACCAAAAATAGGCTGTGCAGAGGCCACACAGGGCCTCTGAGTGGCCCAATTTTGGCCAGCAGGGTGCTACAGGAGGACTGGATTGGACTGGATTACAATTATGTGGCCTCAAGTAAGTGCCTAATCTGAATAGAAAACAAGAAACATCCTATGTTAATAGTACAGTTTAATGCCAGATTTTACATACTGTAGGTTTAATCTATAATCAGCTATCTATAATTGACAGCTATTTCTATTTACTATCCTGGAAATTTACCTCTGCTGTTAGATCTTATATTATTATGTTATTTATGCTATTGTACTTTTATTATTAGTTGAATAATAAAAATTCAATAGTATAAATAGTTTTTCTGCCTGGAAAACAATTTACTATTAAAAAATAGGGTATAAATTTAGAAATAAAAAGTTTAGTGGAGTATGAAGAATAAGTAGTAAATGTTTGCCAGTAATATCTGGTAGAAGAGATAGGAAAATGGTTATAGTTATCAACTGTGGAAAGAAAGAAAAGGGAAAAAAATGCATCTTGAGCCTGTGTCAAACACCCACCATGGCCACACCCACCCCTGGCCCCACACACACACACACACACCTTGGCCTTCCGAGGTGCAACTTGATGCAACCTTCAATGAAATTGAGTTCGACACCCCTGTTCTAGGTTGCATCTACTGCATCATTAACAAGCTTCCATCCATTACTTCTTGTCCTGCCTCAAGTACTTTGGAGAATAGGTTGACTTCCTCTTCTTTGGGACAGCCTCTCAATTATTGAAAGAGTATTATTATGTCATCCCTACTATCATTTCAGATTAGAATCATTTCATTATTACAATCTTATCATCTTCATTTTGTTATTCATATCAACATAGTCACCTTTATTTTGCTGCTAATCCCAACATAATCATTTTATTATTACTATCAATTCCAACTTAAATCATATTTATTTTAACTATCGCTTAGTCATTTTCTTTTGGCTGTTTCCCAGCATGTCTATTTGTTTTGGCTGTTTCCCAGCATATTCAGCTTTATTTTATCTTCATATACAGTATGCACATCTCCATCTCTATACGTTAGTTCTGTATATTTAATTTTATTATCATTCTCAGCTTTGTTTACAATTTAACATTGAGGCTTAATTCTTACATCAAACATATCCACTTATAAATCAATAAAATTTCTTGGATTCTTCTCATATTCATATACATTCTTAATCATCTATAAGAAACTCCTTTCTATCAATACTATCCATCTTTACTTCATTTTTCTATTTTAATCACATTATTTTATTTTCCATCCTTATTTATTATTTATTTATTTATTATTTAAATTTTTATACCGCCCTTCTCCTGAGGGACTCAGGGCGGTGCACAGCCACAATAAAACACGTATATCCATAAGTTTAAAAACAGTTTAAAATATATTAAATAATTTGGCCCTATATTAAAAAACTAAAACACCCATTAAAATTTGTTATTAAGCCAGCCCAGCCTGTTGAAACAGTAAAATCTTAAGGGCACGGCGAAAGGTACGTAGGTCAGGGATCATACATATCTCCGGGGGCAAGTCATTCCAGAGGGCAGGTGCCCCCACAGAGAAGGCTCTCCCCCTGGGGGCCACCAGTCGACACTGTTTGGCCGACGGCACCCTGAGGAGTCCTTCTCTGTGGGAGCGTATTGGCCGGTGGGAGGCTATCGGTGGCAGAAGGCGATCTCGTAAGTACCCAGGTCCTAAGCCATGGAGCGCTTTAAAGATGGTAACCAGCACCTTGAATCGCACCCGGAAGACCACCGGGAGCCAGTGCAGCTCGCGCAGGAGAGGTGTTACATGGGTGTACCATGTCGCTCCCATAATCACCCATGCAGCCGCATTCTGGACCAGTTGGAGCCTCCGGGTGCTCTTCAAGGGGAGCCCCATGTAGAGAGCATTACAGTAGTCCAGACGGGAAGTGACGAGGGCATGAGTGACCATGTGAAAGGGATGCAACTGGTGAATCAGGCGAACCTGATAAAAAGCCCCCCCTGGCCACAGCCATCACATCATCTTCTAAAGACAGCCGTGCATCCAGGAGGACGCCCAAGTTGCAAGCCCTCTCTGAGGGAGCCAAGATCTCACCCCCAATAGTCAGTGATGGAACCAGCTGGCTATACCGGGACACTGGAAACCACAGCCACTCGGTCTTGGAGGGGTTGAGTCTGAGTTTGTTTCTCCCCATCCAGATCCACATGGCCTTCAGGCACCGGGACATCACATCAAGGGCATCATTGGGGTGGTCTGGGGTGGAGATGTACAGCTGAGTGTCATCAATGTACTGATGGAACTTCATCCCAAAACCACGGATGATCTCACCCAGCGGCTTCACATAAATGTTAAACAGGAGGGGCGAGAGGACCGACCCTTGCGGCACCCCACAGACAAGGTGCCTTGAGGTTGATCTCTGTCCCCCTGCCACCAATGATTGTGTACGGCCAGAGAGGAAGGAGGAGAACCACTGCAACATGGTGCCCCCCATTCCTAACCCCTCCAACCGGCACAGCATGATACTATGATCGATGGTATCAAAAGCTGCTGAGAGGTCTAATAGGACCAGGACAGAGGAACAACCCCTGTCCCGAGCCCTCCAGAGATCATCAACCAATATGACCAATGCCGTTTCTGTACTGTACCCCGGCCTGAAGCCCGACTGGTATGGATCTAGATAGACAGCTTCATCCAGGTACTGGGGAAGTTGTCGCGCCACCACACTCTCAACAACCTTCGTCACAAAGCGAAGGTTGGAGACTGGACGATAGTTCGCTAATACAGTCAGGTCCAGGGAAGGCTTCTTGAGGAGGGGCCTCACCACCGCCTCTTTCAGGGTGGAGGGGAAGAAGCCCTCACTCAAAGATGCGCTAATAATCTCCTGGAGCCAGCCTCGTGTGACCGCCCAGGAGGCCAGCACCAACCAGGAGAGTCACGGGTCCAATAAACATGTGGCAGCACTAAGTCTACCCAGAATCCTGTCCATGTCCTCGGGAGTCACATGGTCAAACTCCTCCCAGATAACACTCTCAGGACCCACCTCCGTCACCCCATCTGAACCTACCCAGTCGGAGTCCAGGCCTTCCTGAATCTGAGCTATTTTATCATGCAGATATTGCACAAAATCCTCAGCCCTACCCTGCAAGGGGTCTTCCCATGCTCCCAACTGAAGTAGAGAGCGGGTCACCCTAAACAGGGTGGCTGGGCGGTTCTCTGCAAATAATTAGATTTTGCCGCTCTTATCGTCACTAGATAGATCTTAATGTGAGACCTCACCAGTGTCTGGTCAGATTCGGAATGGCTGGCCCTCCAATCGCTCTCCAGGCATCTTTTCTGGCGCTTCATCTCCCTCAGCTCCTCAGAAAACCAGGGAGCCATATATCTCTAAACACCTCCTTTTATAATTAATATTCATCTAAACAATATGGTTTTGTTTTTTACTCAAACTATTTTTATATTCTTCTTTCCAGCCGTGTATATTTTAATTCTTCATTTCCTTGTCTATTAATTTATAATCCATTTTGAATTCAATGTTCCCAAAATTAATTATTCATATATCATTTTAATTCTTTTTGTAACTTCTATTCCCTGCAAAGTACATCAACTTTCCTTCTTTTGTTCCTGTGCCAATTAGTTTTTATAATTTTATAATTTATCAATTATAAAAGTTCCATTGTATTTCCTCTTTCTTTCCACTGAAAAAGCCATCTGTAGACAAAGAAGAAACCTCCACCACCAACCTCTCATGGCTATTATCAGTAATTTCACAATGCTCCGAAACAAACGGCAAGTTACAGTGTTTCTTTTTAAAGCGGAAGGTGTTACTCTGCAATCCACACTTTCCCTTAGTCATGCCAGTCTCCATTTTGTTGTGATTATATAACAGTCCAATTTAACTCTCTTCTTCTTTTGAGTTTTAAAAGTATTAAGTCCCTTTTTCTTTTCTTTTTTTTCCAAGTCCAATTCTAATTTAAAAAGTTCTTTCCGGGCTTTTAACATGCCTCAATGTTTAGTTGTTCCAATTAATTCAATACCAAAGTAATTTTCCTTGCGGGTCTTTTCCTTCTAAAGTCACTTTT